ACATGCGCATTCCAGTCTACTCCACTTGGCTGCCAGATTACATTGATGTCTCACAAACCGTTCTCGTTATATTAATAATGGCTGGACTTTTCCCAGACAGAACTCATATATATGATTTAAGCATAAAAAGTTCTGTTCCTTAAATATAAGAAACTTAAAAATTTAAACCTAAAAATGAAAAACCTCTTGATTTTTGTCTGGTGGTCCTAGCCACTTTGAAAAATATGTAGATGAACAACTCTTTGGATGACTAACATTTCAGGTATGTGGATGATGGGTGATAACCTAAGGGCTTCACAGAAAAGTTACTTTCAAAGTTGAGTATATAAGTCACTATCAGCTTTCGTAAGTGCCTTATTACTATGCCTCCTTGAAGTTACAAAAGCTAAATGTAATATGGTTTCTTTTGTAGACTTTCAAACAATTTTAGGGGAAAAAATTAAGAAAAATACATGCACATGCGCGCATACACACATACTCACACATGAGTATAATTTCAAATTCCTTAGAATTTTATACCATTAAATTAAGTTTATATTTAATGAGACTCAATGTCTGTTAAAGACAAAAGTACAGTTTAATTTTTTCTCACCAAAATATTACATAAGAATTAATTCTCTTTAAATATATCAATTTTAAATATTCTATACCCCTTAATAAAGAATAACTAATAAAACTGAAGAACTTTTCAACTATTAAGCTAATGTGGTTGAGAATATAAGTTTAAAATAATATGTGAGGTTAATAAGAACAAAAATACATAATAAGGGAAGTAAATAAATATATACAGCCATGGCTGGTGTGGCACAGTGGATTGAGTGCCAACTTGTGAACCAAAGGGTCACTAGTTCAATTCCTAGTCAGGGCACATGCCTGGGTTGCGGGACAAGTCCCTAGTAGGGGGGCATGCAAGAGGCAACTACACATTGATGTTTCTCTTCCTCTCTCTTGCCTTCCCTTCCCATTTCTCTAAAAATAAATAAATAAAATCTTTAAATAAATAAACACAAAGAAGATATGCTGCTTAGGCAAAAAATAAATCTCAGATATAGGGTTTAAGTGTTTATATGCAATTGTAAGAGTAATCTAATTAATGTATGCATTTTCAAGTCAAAATACAGCAAATTTCATAAGAGAATTCTTCTACCAAAACATAAATAATATTCCTCTTTAAAAATTAATAATAAATATAGATTAAAATTTCTCTTTTTTCATAACCAATTTTTATATTAGAATTTGAAAGAATTCTAACATCTTGGATTTTTATTTAAATAAATCAGATTTTGTGATAAAGTTAGTATACTTATTTTATATTTTCTTTAGATTTTAGCCCCATCACTTTGTGGTTAAATCTAGACTCATTAACAAAGATGGCTATTCTCTAATCCTGTCTTCTTCTTTGGGAAATTTACTAAAAGTTTCCTTTCTTTATCTGTAAAATTAAGTATAACAATATTATCTACATCACAAGTTTGGTGTAAAGATTAAACGAGTTACTATTAAAAACACATAGAACAGTTCCTGTCATATGAGTAGTGTTTAAAAAGTAACTCTAATAATTCCCTGTAGGGGACCGGTTTGTCTTGGCCTGGCAAATGTGACTCAGCTCTGTATGGAAAACCTACAGATGCGAAGTAGTGGGCAGGAGCCAGACCTTCAAACCAAGTTTTCCTGGGGGAATCAGGCCTAGAAAATGCATATAGATTGTTATGGCTTGCTCTTGCTAAAACTCCATCACCCTGGTCTGCATCACCCAGGGGTGTGCATGTACACAGAGAGAACTGTGTGAAAAGCCAGCAGCCAGGCAGCCATTGCAAGCCAAGGAAAGAGGACTCAGGAGAAATGGACCCTGCTGGCACCCAGGGTCCATATAGACTGGTCTTGGACTTCTGACCTCCAGAACTAGGAGAAAATTTATTTCTGTAGTTTAAGATATCCAGCCCATACTATTCTGTATGGCAGCTCTAGAAAATATAAAACGGGTCCTTTCTTACTATATTGGAGACACCCCTCTTACCCAGATGAAAAGAGGTCTCAGAAAGAGGTTTCTGGGTTCCTTGTATAGCAGGACTATTTAATCTATGCAATAGCTTTAATCTATGGAATAGCCAGGGGGTTCTATCACCTACAGACATTTTTTCAAGGAGTCTTACTTTGTTGATCCTGGGTTCTATTTGCTATAGTTACTCTTAGCCAGGGATATCACACAAGAAGCATTTTAGGGCCAAGATGGAGACTTAGGTGGAGGAACCACCTCGCCTCTGTGCACAACCAAATCTAAGAACAACTATTTTTAACAGCAGTCACAACCAAGCCACACAGAAAATTGACAATACGGAGTCCAAAGGACAACTAGATACTCAGCTGGACCGGTACGAGGAGCGAGGCCAGCAGCGGAGCAGGTTAGCAAGAAAAAATTCCCGGGGTGGTGCACGGTGCCTGCAGGCAACCGAGGGCGCTGATCACGAGCGAGCTGGCTGCCGGAGCGCACAGGGAAGAAGCTCGGCGGTCGGTCGGTCGCGTGCATTTACGTGCGGAGAAACCAGTGAGAAGGGAAGCCTGCGCGGGGCAGCAGGCTCGCACAATTCCGATCGGATAAACAAGCTCCAGGCGTGTGGAGTGAGTGGATGCGCTGGGCTAGCGGAGAGGACCGCCATTGCTCCCTCTCTGACCACGCCCCCACACACAGTGTCACAAACCAGCGACCTAGGTCTCCCCATCCTGGTAAACAACTAAGGCTTTGCCCCGCTCACTTAACAGCAAGAATAGACCAAAAATGGCTCTAGGACAACTCAGAGCCCCAGAACCGATCGACCTAAGTGATGAAGAAATAGCCAGTCTTTCAGATGCACAGTTCAAAACACTGGTTATCAGGATCCTTACAGAACTGGTTGATTTTAGTCACAAATTAGAGAAACATATGGAAGCTAAACTAATTGAAATGAATGGTGATACAAAGGATACCAATAGTAATGGAAAGAAAATTGGGACTCAAATCAAGGGAGTGGACCAGAAGGAAGAAAAAAATGATCAAACAGAAAGGAATGAAGAAATAAGAATTCAGAAAAATGAGGAGAAGCTTAGGAACCTCCAGGACATCTTTAAACGTTCCAACATCCGAATTATAGGGGTACCAGAAGGGGGAAAGGCACAGCCACCAGTGGAAAACTTATTTGAACAAATAATAAAGGAGAATTTCCCCAAGATGGCAAAGGAAATAGACTTCCAGGAAATCCAGGAAGCTCAGAGAGTCCCAAAGAAGTTGGACTCAAGAAGGAACACACCAAGGCACATCATCATTACATTAGCCAAAATTAAAATGAAGAAGAGAATCCTAGAAGCAGCAAGAGCTAAGGGGACAGTCACCTACAAAGGAGTTCCCATCAGACTGTCAGCTGATTTCTCAAAAGAGACCTTACAGGCAAGAAGGGGCTAGAAAGAGGTATTCCAAGTCATGAAAACCAAAGATCTACAGCCGAGATTGCTCTACCCAGCAAAACTTTCATTTAGAATGGAAGGACAGATAAAGTGCTTCTCAGATAAGACCAAATTCAAGGAGTTTATCATCACCAAGCCCTTATTATATGAAATGTTAAAGGGACTTACCTAAGAAAAAGAAGATAAAAAAGATGAACAGTGAAAGGACAGCAAACTCACAGTTATTAAGAACCACACCTAAAACAAAAGCAAACTAAGAGGACAGCTAGATCAGGAGCAGAACCATAGAAATGAAGATCTCATGGAGGGTTAGCAACAGGGGAGTGGGAGGAGGGGAAGGGGGGACAAGGTACAGAAAATAAGTAGCATAGACAGTAGATAGAAAATAGATAGGGGGGAGGGTAAGAATAGTAGGGAAAATACAGAATCTAAAGAATTTGAGACACGTGTTCATGAACTAAAGGGGGAAATGGTGGGGGAGGGGTATGCAGGGTGGAGGGGAATGGAGGGGGGAATAGAGCAAATGTAATGGCATAATCAATAAAAAAAGTTAAAAAAATAAAAAAAGAAGCATTTTAGGAATAAGCCTCTTCCTCTCAGTAAATATCATTAGTCTAGTTACCTGGAGCTCTGGGTGACAAGGGATTATGACCCACTCCCCTTCCTTCTTTTTGCCCTCAGGGTTGCCCTCTCAGTGAAGGTAGAGAATCCATGGCAGGCCAGATGGCTTAACATCTTCCTCCCCAGGGTTTCAGAGACAGACCCGCTCTTTTGTTTTCAATACACACATTCCTCTTTCCTCACCTTCACCTCTATGAACATATCCATTTCAACTGTGAATTATATCCATCAGTAAACAACCATGACTTTTTTTTTGCCTAAGTTCTATAAATTAAAATAAGTCATGGTAACACTCAATCTGTTCTATTTTATTTCTTTCAGAGTTCAGTGCACTCTATGAGTGGGAAGGTCCAAGATGATTCTGGAGAAATAAAACTTTAAAAGAAGCACATTCAAATATCTTTTGGTTCTCTGTTAAATTGAAAAAAAACTTTTATTAGGAGTTAGAATGGTATCAATGAGCACAAGGGTTTATACGTCACTTCTCTGAGTGAAGGAGAATATGTGTAATGTTTTTTCTTTCCCATTCATTACTTCAATTATTTTATTCATGGGTAAAACCATAGACATTCAAAAATGACTTTGGTTTGCCCTGGCTGGTGTGGTTCATGGATTGAGTACCAGACTGTGAACCAAAGGGTTCCAGGTTTGATTCTCTCTTGTGAGAGGTAACCACACATTGAGTTTTTATCCCTCCTTTCCCCTCTCTCTAAAAACAAACAAAGAAATAAGTAAAATCTTTTAAAAAAGCCAAAGCAAAATGACCTTGGCATAGAAACAGAGAATTAGTAACAAGATCAGAACAGCTCAGTGAGATAACATGTAATAGGTTAGATATATCTCAGCCTCTCTATGATAAAAATACTATGGAGTACTTAAAGGCAGAAGGAGATAGAAACTGCTGATTTAATTCACCAAAAGCGAAGTCATCTTATACTTACTGAAGCTACATTCACAAAATCATCATCTGAGAGGGTTTCCAACATTTCGGAGACAGACGTTCGGATCAGTTTAAGTGTCAATCCACTAACACTTCCGCTCCTACAAAAAGATGGGTCCGTGCATGTTAGTGACCATATACGCAGTCAACATAGGAAAACCAAAGTAAAGGCAGTTTGTGCACTGGCTCTAGATCTTTATATAACATTCAGATAATTTTGTCTTTAAAAAATGAGTAGTAAAAAAAAGTCCTGTTTTTAATAGAGTGGAAATAAGGAAATCTTGTCTTTCATACCAGCATCACAATGTATATATTTCTAAACACAATGATAAAAATTAACAGTCACATGGCAATTTTAAGAAAATATGGATACTTATGGCATGTTCACTTATTCAGGAAACCTATACTGAATAACAGCTTAGTTAGCCAAGTCAGAAGTGAGGGTTTTCAACCTCTTTAGTTAACAGATAAAGTCACTGCTAAGGGAACCCATAGTTTGACTTGATTAAATTGATAATTATAAAGAAGCATAACGATTACCATAATACAGATTTTTTGTGGACAAGATGCCTAGCTTTGTATTCTGAAGTACATATTTTCTGGGGATTAGTCATTTATCTCATGGTTACACATTCTATGATCATCAGTGACGACCTCACTGATTTGTGGGGCTCAATTCAAGACAAGTTACTCTCAATTCCACATCTCTAGCTTCCAACTTTCTCTCTGTTTTACAGTTTGCTGCTTGTTAAACAACTACAGGCTCAATACCTGAAAAGACAAATTACTCCCAAACATATTTTTCTTTCCTACTTATGTTCTTGGTACCAAGAGTCTCAGTCATCCAATTTTCTCCTCCCTCTCGATCTTCCTACTCTTTCAGACAATCTTCCTGATTCATTCCACTTCACAGTGTTCCCAAGACAGTGCCCTCCTCTCCATCTTGTCCTCACTCTGGCTCAGGCCTTCGTGACCTGAAGACCCTGTAGTAGGGTAAAAACCACTACATCCAGCTCTAAGTCACCTCTCTTCCCCATGCTAACAAGTGAACATTCTGGCAACTTAATACATTTCATAGTTCATAGTTACCCACTAAATATCCAACGATCTCCATAGCCATTTATTCAACAGCTTTCATAATCCTCTCTGCCATCTGGCCATCACCTTCTTGAGATAGTTGCTCCTGATGTCCTTACCTAAGCCACTCTGCTTCTGTTAATTCTTCCACCCAAAATTGCATTCTCTTTCCTCTCCCATGCCTCACAGTTAAATTCTAATTTTGGCTTATTAGTGAAGTATTTCTTGATACTTTAAATCAAAGTGCTTTCTCTCTCCTTGTACCCCTTTATCTCTACGGCATATCTGAGGTCGCTTACCTTCTATGTTATTTTAGTTATTTGTAAATATGGTTTAGTTTCACTAATACATCTGATTTATCTCTGAGATCAGGGAACACATCTTAACCATCTTTGAGTCTCTATTATGACACTGTATATGTGATGAGACACTCAATAGTTATGCTGAAATAATTTTTAAAATGACATTTTTTAACCTCATATAAATTTGCAACTTTGAGATATCCTTATGAGTTCTAAATATTTTAACATGGGCAATTATTTCTGGAAATCATCATATACCCAATAGGATTATAATATATTAAACTACCATATAGATTTATACTTAAGGAGAATATCAAGGATTCCAGTATGCTATAGACTTCATATTAATTTAATACAAAATGTGGCTTAAATGCATTTTAACAAATGAAATGAAAATAACTTAATATTTAAAATAACTTAATATTTAAGTTACATTTATCTAATTCATTTATCTTGTCTTCTCAGGCTAGGTTATAAGGTTTTGAAATTATTTACTTTAAGTTAAAAAGGAGAAATTTTCAAATGTTGATGTAAGAATGTGGTATGGATTTAGTTGCCTACAAAACACTGGATTTTATTAGGGAAAATAATCAAAGCATTTTATACATTGTTTTTATTCATTGGTATTTCACTTGAAAGCAAAATCTCTATAGCAGGACATATTCTTTTCTAAGTTTCAGCATTTCACCTTCAACTTCACTGGAGGATTATATGCACATAGGCACACCCACCCACCCCTTAGCTTGAAGCAATGTAACACACAAAATTACCAGTATAAAAAACTACTGGAATTCCTTCTTATACATTAGCATTTCCCTGAGAAAAATCCCAGTATTGACATTTAATACATTTAATCTTTATCTGTTTTGTGGCCCAAATCCTCAAAGTTATTTGAATCTTTTAATCACTAGATGCTAACTAAATTATTCTCATTTGGGGGTTGGGGTGGGTAGTGAGATATTTTAGTTTTGGAAACCCTGTACTTTGAAGTCATTTTAATTAGAAAGCCAAAAATTACAAGCAAATGAATAAATTTTCAAAATCTCATGCCATGCTATCATTTTAAATTCCAACATAGGTTCTCCTCATTTTCAATAAAAGAATTTGTGTTTGTTTTGTTGCTCTCAATATGATTTCTTTGTCTGGACATAAAAGTAATCATGATCACTAGCTGTTCCTTTTCCCTCATACACCATCATTTCTTAGTCTCAGCTAATCACCTTTATCTATGAATTCACCCTGTATTCTCAGCACACAAATAAGTATGTATTATTTAACTACTCACACATCGACCAGAATAAGCATGTCTTTAGGAGATGCAGCTCCTTGGATGTACCTGAAACAAATACCAAATAAATATGTTTTCTCTTTCAAAATACCAAACATTGACATTTGTTAAGCTGATATTTACTGATCTCTGAGGTAAGACATTTCCCAAACAGATCTGCTTCCATTCTCTCTCAGTCAACAATACTCTGCTCTTTCATTTATAGTTTTACAATGTCAATATTTAAAAAGCTATATTTAACATATTAGTAGATACATCAGGGGCTTGATGTTTCAATAGTGTTTTTCAGATGTTTATTTAAGAAGATAAAGAAATGTGTTTTAATACTAAAAGAAAAAGAACTTTAATTCTAGAAGGACATGTTCCAGGAAAAAAATCCTGAACTTCAATTTGTTGACCACATGTTTTAAAGCACATTCTATGGAATAATAATTTTAGCAAATAATAACAAGGCTATGTCATATTTTTAAATACATGTGAACAACACAAAATGCATGTAAATTGTCTAGGAACATGAAAGGGCAACATTAACAGAAGAGAAATAAAAGGAACAATAAAGAAATTAAACAGAATATATAATTTTATTTCCAAGAGTTCCCAGGAGTGGCTCTCAAACCTGACAGTATCTAAGAATCACCTTGAGAGTTTGTTTGATTTGATTCCTAAATTCAACTCAGACCTACAGAATTTAAAAGAGACTATAGGAGAGCCTTACTCAGATAGTTTAGGAATCATAGAGAGATTAACATAATTGCAGGTGAATGATCCCAAAGTTTATGGTGCTGAGCCACAGAATGACTGAGCATAGGGACCTAATTTCCCCAACTGGAAGGGCTGAACCTAGACTCAACTTTCTCCTTTCCCCCAATGCTTCTTTATTCATGACTCTAAATTTAACTTCTCTAAAGGCTACCAGATAATGTGTCAGTTATTTCCCAGACAACATCCAGTACCATTAGTACCTATTCGGGACTCCGCGTTCACGAAACAGAGTTCATAACTTGCACCGAAGTTTGTTTCTTTATTTGCTGAGATATTCCCATGGCACATCTAGCTCAAGTCTAGCACATTAGCAAATGGTCCAGGTGTGCCCACTGGTGGGGAGATGAGAGGACAGAATATTGTCTGCCTCTTCTGTTTGGCACCTAGCTTCTTAGTTTTCCCAAAATAACTGGTTCCTGAACCTGAACCATCTGACACCATCAATCTTTGCCATCATTCAACAACACATTGTTCATAGCCACCACACTTGGAGAAATATTAACAAGCATAATGTGTAGATTACTAACATCTTGCACTATTACACATGGATGGTATTCATATAAATTGCCACTGGAGCATTTAACAAGACATCTTAAAAGTTTTAAATACACTTACCTGAATCAACCATTATGTCTTAGAATTTGTCTGAACCCTGGCAAAAAGTTAAAAAGTAACCTAAATGTCCAATAATAGGGGACTTTTAAATAAGTTACTTCATAGTCATTCTTTTAAAGTGACATTAAGTGTGTCACTTATGAACAGGTACTCAAAGGTATTGATATGAAAAGAGTAGGTTACAAAAGCAGTGTATTTTATATAATGTGAACTCATTCAAAAAAGAAACATCCACACATTAAATACATTTTTTAAAAAACTCAAAATACATCAGTTGTGAAATCATGAGTTATATGTAACTTTTTTTAGTTTTACTTAGGAAAATGAGTTTGGTAGTAAGAAACAAATAATACTTCTTTTTGGAAAAACAAACCTAAGCAATACAACTATGACAAGGAGCAGCTCACACAGCTTGGGGCCAGTTCTCATTGGCACGCTGCCAGAGCGGACCAGATGCCCAGGGAGAGCTGCACCTCAGGCAAACTGGAGGGCTTTCAATAGAAATCCCCACAAGCTAGAAGAGTTTGGAAGATAAAATTGAATAGAAAACTTCAGTGGTACGTTTGAAATGAATTTGATAAATAATTTCAACAATATTCACTATTCACTACAATATTCACTATTCAACAATATTCACAATATTCACTAAGTTCTCATGTAAACTTATCTTCTTCATTTACCTTTACCTTATACATTGATGAAAATCGAAAAATACCCAAGCCTTCTAAATAGTTACATGGTATTCACCCTGCTAATGGAAACATCTCCTCCAACTTTTTAACAATAAAAAAAGTAACCTCCTTTTTTCTATTTTGGCTTTTCATAACAAGCTAAAATCCTTACCATGGTCTTCTGCGCACATCATAAAGGTCAATTTTGTTTGGAGTTCGGCTGTTATCAACCCATGGAGAAGCTTTGAAAGACAGGGGAAGGGCATAAAAGTTACATTAAAAATTAGAGGAATTACATAAAAACATTAGGAATCTCTAAAAATAGCATTTAAAAATATCAAAAACACCTTTGACACATTCTACTTATCCACAACACTGTTAAAACGGGACTCACAATTTTAATGCCACATTTTTTTTCTTTTGCCACTCAAGGAAATTATGCTTTCAATTATTTAATCATATTTTCATTCAAAGTCATATTTACTTGTTCTATAAAAAGACTGTTGTTTTTTTCTGGATTATTATCATACAATTGCATAATTTTTAACCTTATTATTAATACATTTGATAATGGCCAGTCCATTTGAAACTATAATTAAAAGGTTAAAGTATAATTTAAAAAACTCCACAAAAACTGTTTTCCTGCAATTTATTTAAATGATTAGAAGTAATTCAAGTATAGGTTCAAAAATCTTTTGTTCATGCCAGAGCCTTCACCACTTTCAGTAATCAGAAGAACTTCTTTGTCTAACTGCATTGATTTTAAGTGTAATTACTTTATACTTATTCTAATTAAAATTATATTTTAATTAAAACATGTTACAAAGCTTCACACACACACACACACACACACACCCCATTAGACTTAATGGAGAACAATAAATGCTGATGACTTACAAGATAATTTTATGCTGAACAAAGTCCTCTCCTTAACATGTTTAGATTTATGACCCTTGAGAAAATTTCTAATTATAATTCATATGACATGTCTTCCAATCTATTTTGCCCTTTATTGAGAAACTATGGAAGTTATGGAGAACTTTACTGAGAAGCAGCTTTATTAGTCAACTAAGATAATTAGGCCAATTAGGATATGTCAGAAAATACATACTAAAAAGCTTCTCTTTGACTGAGAAATTTCCTTCTTATTAATGACTGTATTATAAAATGATTTATTCATTTTAAATGGCTAATCAATCATGCTCCGGTGAAATACTAAGTTTAAATATAGCATTCTTCCAACTATGCTAGTCCCTGAGATAGTCAATGCAAATAAAATAATAACTTTATTTTGATTCTTTCAATTTGTATTTGCAGAAACTTTGAACCAATGAGACGAATATCACTACTTCTTTTCTTTTTGTGGTAGAACTGGAGTTAAGCAAGTAGCATGCTGGTAGGCATGCCAGGATACTTTTGACTACTGAATAATATCTGACTCCCAAGTTAAGACTTTTAACTTTAAAATTAAAATATTAAATAAATTATATCCTACTTTCAGTGCAGAGTTGTATGTTGTGCTGGTTATAGATTTATTGCCTCTCAGCTCTAACCATTTTTTAACTTGCTCTATAAAAATGGATCTGCGCACGTGAACAATTTCTTTTTACCAACAGCACAATTTTAAGCTCTGTCAGCCACCATAAGTGAAATGTCGCTAACTAAGGAATTCGATAAATTATTTAATGAAATTAGATGAAAGTCACATTTAAATTAGATTTCTGAATTCTTTTCATATCACATTTATCTAGGACTTTTGTTTTCACTATAATTGCCAATTGAAATAGACTGTGTCAGTATTACCATGCTCCATAAAATTTGTATCTATTTTTAAAGATGGAAAAAGAGGTCATAATTTACAGTATAAGCTGGACCATTCCATTTTCTTATAGCACAGTAATTTTAAACCCTTTTTATTTTATGACACACAGAAGCTAATTACTAAAATTTTGTGGCACACCAAAAATATATTTTTTGCCAATCTGACAACACGTAGGTATAAATTTGCTTCATTCACACCGAACAGCTACTGTTGTCTTGGCAGACATCCTTTTTATATTTGACAATCTAAGGAAAAAGCAGTCAGTGCCCTGGACTAAATAGTTAAGTACTGCATATTTTAAAATTTATTGTGGCACATTGGTTGAAAATGGATGATAAAGCATATAATCTTAAATGGTTTATATAAAAACACTAAGAGTCTTCTCTTAGAAATCTTCTGAGATATCTACTATTAGGACATAATTAAATAATGTGACTTCTGTGATATTACTAGTGAATTTGTTAAAAAAATCCCATTGTGGCATTTAACTGGTACATTATTTAGATAAGCTCAGAATTATGAAAGATCAAATAGTAAAAAGGATTAATAACCTTAGTGCAACTCCCTAAAATGATCAGTTTCATAATGATACATAATGAAAGATACATTTTGACAAGAAATCAGAGCTTCTAAAATCCCTGCAAAAAGGGAAATGTTGCTCGGTTTAGATGTCCCTTTTGCTTTCCAATGAAATGTGGGATGATATGAAAAGGAGTGGAATTGACAGCCTACAATGTGGGCAGGTCATTTCTGAATGCCAAAGTTAAGGGTGATGATAAACATTTATAAAAATTTTTTCCTCTGATCAAAAATGAACTGTGGGTGTATCTTTGATGAAATGTATTGAACTACAATTCTATTTCACATAATATTTAAGGTGTACTATGTCAGTTGTTGAACTGTGATTTAAAAAGGTATTTAACTATAAGGTAAGTCCTCTGTAGATGCAAAAGCGGTTTGAGAATTGCAGTCCCTGGCTAGGCAGTCATTTTTAAAAAATAAGACCTGGGAATTGGGTGAGAAGGGTGAAGGGATTAAGCAAAGGGAAAAAAAAGGAGTCATGGACACAGACAACAGTATGGGGACTGCTGTCAAAAGCAGGAGGGTGGGGCATGTAGAAGGTTAAGGGAGAGTAAATGGAACAGAAGGAGACTTGACTTGGGGTGGTGAACACATGATACAATACACAGATGATGTATTATAGAACTGTGTGCCTGAAACCTACACAACTTATGAACAGGCTCACTCCAATAAATTCGATAAAAAGTAAAAACAGAATTTCTCCATGGAATGGGAGGGCAGAATTGTGGTGAATAACTAGCAGCCTATGCATCAGATACAGATGAACAATTAGAAAACGAGTAAGATGTACTATTATAACATCAAATTTTGTGTTTTCATCAATGTCTTCAAGGAAACTACCTTCAGTATGAGAGAGAGAATAACAGACTAAATTCGTAAACCAGTAAATACATAAAAGATGTTGGACTTAGTAATCTCTAGACTAAATCTCAAGACTAAGATTGCTTGCACAAGAGTCTCAGTAGAAAAAAACAAATAATGAGAAGTGAACCAAGTGCTGCTGATGTTGCTTGTGTTACCAAAGAAACCACAGGCCTATTCTTCGGAAATCTTGTAATTGTTGTAAACTGCAAAGCAACTCTGGGCTCTGAACCTGCACTCAAAACAACATTCTACAAAAGCTGTTTATTCCCAAGCACAACCTTCAGATGTGTTGGAAAGGGTTACAGAGCTAACGTGATCGGGCGTAGTCTGATGGGCTAAGAAACTTCATGCAAAGAATAGAGGGTATTGCTTGCCTGCTGGATTGTAGTAAGTACCATGGACCCGTGACTGCTCTGTAATTCCTACTCTCTTTTTACAAATGGCAGTTTTTATACCAATAAAATCCAGACCCTATCATCCAGAAGACACCAGTATTATATACCGGTTATCTGGGCAGTGATGAGAATCATACAGAGAAACTAATATTCTCCTGTATTTTAAGTAGCCATATTAAGAAAAATTATATCCAAATGCATAGCAATGTGTGTGACCCAGACATACTAGATATTGAACTGAATGTACTAACTTAATGGGGCTTGGAATTATCTCCCGTGGGAGGAAGGTGAGTGTGTTCATGTGTGGAAGTTCATGCAGACTGCGCTGCCAGAGGAACATGCACAGCACTTCAGTGTACACTTCTTCCTCCTCCTCCCAGGAACAGCACTCCTCAAGTTTTCACTGACTAACAGAAACTATACTTCTCAGTCTCTTGCCATGCGAGATATTATGATGAAACTCTAGGCAATAATATTTGATCATTATAGCATTATATATAATTTTTTGGTCATGCTGTTTGCCTTCTACTAATTTGTTCCTTTTTCATTTGTTCTCAACTGTGGATGTGGTGGTCTTGACCCAGTTTTAATCGTATAGATGAGGACAACCCAAGGGATGGCAAGTATTGGTGTGGCCAAAAGGTCCATTTAGTTTTTTTTCTGTAAAATAAAAGACATATTCTTCATTTTTACCAATAACATTATTGATTTGGGTAATCTGAGTATGTTAGCTATCTCCCATGTGGTATTACATTGATTGTTATAGAACCTCAGTCGCTGGAAACCTCATAGGCCAGACTTACCCTAACCAACTGATTTAGCTACTACAAGGTTATCATATATATATTGAATATATATATATTCTCTGTTAGTCATTTTTTAAGTAACTGAATCAATATCTTGATATAGGTCAGAACTTTTCCCAGTTATACAAACCTGGATCAAGTTCTAAAGTTTGGAGAATGGACAGAAGGTGGACTTTTCATAAGAGTGTTTGAAATCAGCCTCTTTATTTTTCTACATTTTAATACCTTTTTAGGAGAAAATTATTTTGGACCTGGGAAACTACTTATTGCAATAAAATATTTATATTTCCAGGTAAGTTGTTATATCTGGCACTATTTATGTACTCAATACTGAATTCTGGGATAGACATAGGTTTCTGAAAAGTAACTGATCCGCAAACAATGACAGATTAAGTTTTAAAATGTTGAATGATGACAGATTTATGCCACAGAACTGCAGAAGAGATTCATACACAGAAGAAAAGACGAGAAGGTAGTCATTCCAATTGGGTAAATGTTAATACAAATAGCCTATTCTTTTTGTCTCGTCTTTTAAATTGTCTTCTCTGGTTGGAAACAGCCTACTGTAGAACCTGGATGAGTTTTGCAGCTGGCGTTCCTAGACTTTTCATTAGATGTATGAATTTGGATACATTACTTATGCTTTTCAGGAAAAAGGGGGTAAGAGAGTTTTTGCTGCTGCGGGGAAGAGCTGAGATTCAATAATTTATGCACATAAGCCCTTGGAACTAGAGTTGGCATATAATAAACACTCCATATGTGAATATTTAAAA